CCCAACTGCCAAGGGACATCACCTCCTACAATGGACTCCACCTCTTACATCAATCACCTTGAAACCCAGTAAATGCCCACAAACGTGGCCACGGGCTGATCTAATTGAGGCAGTTCTGAAGTTGAGGTTCCATCTTGCCAGCCAGGCCAGTTGATAAACAAGATTACCCATGACACCTACATTTCTCAATTTGATTTTCAAATATAAGTGCACACAAATATAGGAAAACTTGCCATAAAGATGAAAGCAAAAGAATTAATTGGCATGGTTTGATGAACAAAAATGGCTTTACTACATATAAAGGAATATGCTCAAAGAATGGTAGATGCGGCACTTTCTTCCTTCTATTTAAAGTAATTTTAATTTACTTATTAATGTTCACAATGAAGTAAATACATTATAAATATGGATTAAAATATTTCTTCTGTTTTTTTAGTCTGGAGACCAAGGAAAAGAAGTATAAACACCAACTATGACCTTCAGCATAATGTTCTGTGAAACACACTGCACTTAAGTGAGTTACATGACTCAGAAGGACTTTACATAAAAACTGAACAACACATTAAAAAGTTGCAGCTATTTTTAACTTTTAAATTTATTTAAAGCTGCTAAGCTACTAATCAATCAAAAGCCAGGAAATAGTAATTGTGAAATCATCTGACTATAGGACACCCCAGGAAATATTATGAGTTACAAATTTTTCTGATTCTATTCTATGATAGAAAAAGTTTCTTCTACTAACCAATTTAATTCGTAATTCTAACATAAGAAACGAGTGAAAATTTTTACAGAATTTAGTAAAAAGTTATGAAAAATGTGACTCTGAGCTGTTAGAACAGCTTGTAGAAAATGGAATTTCTGATACCTGTCTTGGAGGGTCTGTACTTGTTACTGCTGTGAGGATGGAGATGTCTGGATCATACACCATAAAAATAGTTTTGGAAATCCCACAAGACAGTTAACTGAGAATCAAGCCATACAGCAGACTTTTTCAAGGAGTGCGGTCTCCCAGGCCTTGCCTGAAGTCAGTGTGCAAATTTCTCAGCTCTCAAAGGCTAGCTCAAAGCCTCGCTTCAGTGTCACTGACACTTGGATGGCATTCATAGTGAGAGCTCTGTTCTGTCTTAACTGTAAAATTCAACTCATATCATGACACTTTAGCTCTATTACTGTTAAAAAATCTTGGCGTAATTATTTTAAGGAAGGATTCAATCTTAAATGAAAAAAATCTAGTGAACTACACTCAAATATTAAAATGAGAACAACATAACAAAGGCAAGTATTTTTTTTCATTTTTTAAATTTATTTATTAAATTTAATTTTACATATCAGCCACGGATTCCCTTGTTCTCCCCCCTCCCACTTCCCCACCCCCACCTTTTCTCCAGGCCATCCCCCATTCCCATCTCCTC